TATAATGATTATTTTTGATCAAAAAGAAAACAACTCACAAAATAGTTATTATTTCAGAGCAAAAAATAACGCTCGAAAAATGAGTTTTATTTTTGATCAAAAAAATATAACTCAATAAATGGTTGTATTTTCTGTGCAATACAATAAAACTCAAAATGTGATTATTATGATTGATCGCAAGTATTAGAATCTCAAAATAATGATTAAAAGTTAATTTTTTTGATAAAACTCATAATGATTACGGTCCCTGATATAGACATAGTGCAGCTTGGTTTGAGTTTGAAACTTTTCAGGGTTTTACCAGAAAAAAATCTTCTGACTAAATCTGACTACTTCGGACTGATGATAGTCACTCTCACTGAGTGTTGCTCTCTCATTTTTTCTGTAATTTCCGAGTTAAGGAACGCTTTTTGGACTAAATCTGACTACTTCGGACTTTTTCTGACTATTTCTGGGAGATAATAGGAGCGTTCCTTATCTTTACAAAAAATCAACCCTAAGTCCTAGCTACTTCAAATTTGACCTTATTTACTCAAATTTAATGGACCCAAAGCTACATTTTTTCTAATGCTAAATGCTGATAAAAAGTTAGAAATTTTGGTGAAATTTTTCAAACTTTCATTATTTTTGTACGCAGTCGGAAATTTGGATTTATATGGTTTTTGTTAAGTAATCAGCTATACTTTCATACAAAAATATTAAACATTAAATTAGCCAAAGAGAAATAACCCAAAACTTGATAAAATGTCGGGTCGCAGGTTATTTTGCTTCACTGTATGTATTGATACATATGTATGTATGTTACTTTTTGAAGTATGAACTACTCGACTCAAACTCAGAATTGTACAGTGATGTTTCTAATATGTTCACAATGTTTTTAATTAGGAATTTTATTTGGCATTTTTTTATAAAAGTATGACTCATCTAACAAAATCGAAACTTTAAACTTTATGCAAAAAATAGAAAAATTTAACAAAGTTTCATCAAAAGTACAAACGTTTTAATTAGAATTTATAGAAAAACTAAATGCGTAACACCGTCAGCAAACAAATTTTTCAAAAATCAACAGGATCTTTTAGCAATATTAAACTAGCACTTTAGTATATAAAATAAAGTAGGCTATTTATTTTTTCTATAAGTTCTAATTAAAACGTTTGTACTTTTGATGAAACTTTGTTAAATTTTT